CAGAGGATAAAATTTATTATAGCTGCTATATGTTATGCTATATGGGTATTTGGAGATTACAGACTCTTAATAGCCTAAAATGACCAGTCAGTAGTATTGGCACTTTAGAAGATAAGTGACTAGTAAAAAAGGGAATGAGTGGGAAGTAGCTTTTCTTTGCCAGTCTGCAATTTCAGATCTGACGTGACATTATTCCAGTATGTATGAATCTGTATAGATTTAAACACAAGTGGCACGTGCACTTCTGTATGTTTGTATGTATATATAAGCAGACTAAGCACACAATGCAGCCCCATAAGATGGTAATAAAAAATATAAGAAAATAAAGGAAGTTTGCTATTTATAGACATTAACTATATTTATTTTTATATGCAGCCCAAGAAATTCCTCTTCACTCAATGCAGCCCAGGCAAGCCAAAAGGTTGAACACACTTTCACTAAATCCTTATTCTCTGTTAGTCTTGAATATTTCAAAATCATTCTATCCAAAAATTGATGAAAAAAGGACACATTGAACCACATGAATACATTGGGTATTTTCAAAGATGGCTTTCTCCTAACTTAGAAGGTAGCTTACATGAGCCTTACTTATAGCTGTTTCAGTTGGTTTAGTCCATTCCTCCTGTTATAAACAGAATTGCTAGTTCATATGGCTCATCTTACTCTGCTCTAAATCTTTATTTTGCTTCCGATGATCAATTTTATGACAAGCACATTAATCCTTTTTCTATAGAGCAAAGTCTGAGATTTGTCTAAAATTATGACATATCTTCTAACAATTCTGAGGTGATTTTGTGTTACACTCTTGCATATTATATAAGGAGAAGGTTCAAAATAGTAGCATCAGTTTTTTGAATTGTATTTTTTGAGCACCACATATTATTGGGTATGCAAATGATCTTTATCAGGCATAAGTGGGTAAAATAGTCCTGAAGGCAGTCTATATAGTAAATAAGTATAATAATAATTGACTAAAACATGTACAAAACAGCACTGAATACTTTGAGCGTAGCTTTTGCACATACAACACTATTATGTTATATACTGGCAGATCCTGTTTTCTTTTGAGGTATGATTCAGCTGATGCTTTCTTCTCTAGGGGCTCTTTTCCTCCTAACTTTGCTGCCTACAGATATGTTGAACCATAACTCACAGTTAAGCATCAGTTATAGTGGCGGAGAATTACAATGTTTACAGTCTTCCCATTCTTTGCACAATTGCACATGGGAGAGGATACAAGGTTGGGAAAGACTGACCTAAACTGTTTAGTTCCTATATTTGCTAGTAAGATAGTGGTGTATAAGTCTAGACCAGGGGTAGGCAACCTCGGCTCTTTTATGACTCGTGGACTTCAACTCCCACTGACTCAGGAATTCTGGGAGTTGAAGTCCACGAGTCATAAAAGAGCCGAGGTTGCCTACCCCTGGTCTAGACAGTGGTGTAGCAAGCCTAACTTTCTTTCCATAGCATTTATCTAGCCTTAGTTTCATTTGTGTTGTATCTCAAAAATGGAAGTTTAAAACATTGACATTTAAATGTGAGACTGGTTTTAGATCAGTAGGAACTGTTATGGCTAGTATATTGAAAATTATCATATTTGTCTTTGTATTTGGTAAACTGAGAAATAATCACTGACATATCAAATTATTGCCTCCTAATTCTACCTGTGCAGGTAGAATGTAAAAAGTAATACAGGTATTCCTGTACAAGTAGTACAGAAAGTTTGGGCTCAGTTGTAGTTGTAAGTTGACTTAAAACCACAACTGAGCCCAACATTTCTGTTGCTAAGCAAGAAAATAGTTAAGTGAATTTTACCTCAGTTTACGACTTTTCTTGCCACAGTTGTGAAATGAATTACTGCAGCTGTTAAGTTGGTAACATGGAAACCTGGCTTCCCCATTGACTTTGCTTGTCAGAAAGCTATAAAAGCTAATCAAATGACCTCGGGACAGTGCAATCATCATAAATATGAGTCAGTTGCCAAGCATCTGAATTTTGATCTTGTGACCATGGGGAATGCTATGACGGTCATAGGTGTGAAAAATGGTCATAAGTTACTTTTTCAGTGCTGTTGTAACTTTGAATGATCACTAAATAAACTATTGTAAGTCAAAGATTTCCCTATACCATAGAACATGTCCTAGGTGCTTGAAAGATTCCTTCCAGCTTATATATTTGCAGCCAATTTCTTTGGCTAACAATTTTGCTTTGCTGCTTGATGATGCTAGTTACGGAAATTGGCAAGCATCAAAATTCACTTCCCACATAGAGTATTGTAGTATTCCGAATTGCAACTTCACTCTCTTCTTAATGGCAGCCAATTCTGATTTCTCTCCAATCTACTGCCATATAGTGATTGCTAGTCTGTATTGCTAGTTGCCAAGAGAGTTTCAGTGTTCTTTTCAATCAGGTGTTTCTGGATACAAGAAATTTGACACTGCCCCCCCCCAACCTGTGGGTCAGATTTACCTTATGTTCAGGTAGACCAGCGGTTCTCAACCTGTGGGTCGTGACCCCATTTGGGGTCGAACGACCATTTCACGGGGGTCACCAAACAACGCAGTCCGCCATTTTTTCCCGCCATTTTTTTCCCCTTTTCCTTAGCTGTGCTACTCCCTCTTATTCTATTGGCTTTTGAATGCCAATAGAATAGACTCTATTCAAGAGACTCTATTCTATTGGCGTTCGAAAGCCAATAGATTCTATTGGCTTTACTTTCGGTTATCTTAGATAACCGAAAACTTTCGGTTATCTTATCTGAGAGAAATTTTCTCAGATTAAGATAACCGAAAGTTTTCGGTTATCCTTAACAGGTCCGACAGAGACGGGACGACTCGGGCGGTTTTCAGGGTCAGACGTTTGCCACGACGTTCAACAGACGTCGATTCCGCTCGAAAGACCTGCAAAGGTGGACTCCCTGCTGAGCAACTACTAAATGTAAGTAAAAGAGGGCCGGAGGTGGGAGGCCGGCGGGCACAGGGAGGGTTGCTGGCGCGTGTGGGGCCCGGTGGGTGCCTTACCTCCCTTGGGCTGGGCCAGCTGGTTGCCCAGCCGGTGGTCGCCCTGCGCCCTCGCTGCCGCGTGCTATGGCTGCCCAGGAGCGCCTGCCGGCCTGCCGCCGCACCAAACGTGCGGTGGCCAAGGTAAGGCTAGCGGAGCAGCGGCGGGCGCAGGGAGGGTTGCTGGTGCGCGTGGGGCCCGGCGGGTGCCTTACCTCCCTTGGGCTGGGCCAGCTGGTGGCCCAGCCGGTGGTCGCTCTGCGCCCTCGCTGCCGCGTGCTATGGCCGCCCAGGAGCGCCTGGGCCTGCCAGCACACTGAACGTGCGGTGGCCAAGGTAAGGCTAGCAGAGCAGCGGTGGGCGCAAGGAGGGTTGCTGGCACGCGTGGGGCCCGGCGGGTGCCTTACCTCCCTTGGGCTGGGCCAGCTGGTGGCCCAGCCGGTGGTCGGCCTGCGTCGTAGCTGCCGCTTGCCATGGCCGCCCAGGAGCGCATGGGCTTGCCTGGTTCCGCACCAAACGGGCGTCTTGCTCCGCGATTGCCGGCTCTGCACAAAAGTTTCTTTTTCTTTTCTAAATTCTACCCCCCTTTCTCCTCCTCTCCTGTCCCCTCTCCCATTCTTTTCTCTGCTCTCCTTCCCGGCAGCGAGATTCGGCCGGCTGAGGGGGTCGCTCTAGCTCGAGCAGGAGAGCCATCTCTATGCTCCTGGGTCACGTGTGGTCACGTGGGTGCATGCGTGTGGGTCATGTGTGGTCATGTGGGTGCGTGCATGTGGGTCATGTGTGGTCACGTGGGTGTGTGCATGTGGGTCACATGTGGTCACGTGGGTGCGTGCATGTGGGTCACATGTGGTCACGTGGGTGCGTGCGTGTGGGTCACATGTGGTCACGTGGGTGCATGGGGTCGCGGCATTAGGAAGGTTGAGAACCACTGAGGTAGACAGTACTGCATTATCACCTTAAGAGCATAGAAGCCATTAATTTCTGAACCTAAAGTTACTTAACACTCCTATTGTTGTTACCTAGGTGTTCAGAAAAATAGTTTCTAATCTCTGTGGTTAAAGTCCATGTTCATGTGCAAAAGACACAAAGGTTCTGAACTGCAGACAGGTATGAGTGCAGAAAAAAGAAAACCCAGCTTCATGTTTTGAAAGCCATTTAAGTGCAGCCTAATGTATTACAGGAAAGCCAAGAAAAAGTTAAATATAACAGAATGTGGACTTAACTGTCTCAAGAAAGAAACATGCAATGCAGCTTTTTTCATTTCTTTTTGATTACTGAGAACAATCTCCTTATTCCTTGTATTTGAAAAGTATTCATTAGTGACATAGTGACATTAGATTTTTGAGTCAAAGGGACAGGATTTTTTTCACTCCAAAGCAGCATTATCATTTTGCTCTCTCTACCATAGCTGTTTTATTGAATTTTGCAAAATGGAAGTTAATCATGAATCATCTTCAGATATAACTGTTGAATAGGGCTTAGTTAGCAAGCTAGCTTTACTAAAATGTTTTTTGTGTGAAGTGATATTGGGAGGCCTATAGGGTTTTCTGAGTCTTATTTGAGTCAATATAAAGAGTTTGACTTAGTTTAGGTATCCACCGTAATATTATGAGTATGAGTAAAGGTCAATCGAAACCAATTGAGACGAAGAAGATAGCGAGGGACATTTAATTACGAAGTGGGTTTCTCTCTTTCTCTAACTCGTACGTACGAGAGAAACAATATTCACAAATAGAAATGAACACGGAACGGTTTAAAGTGAAAAAGTAGTAAAATAAAAAATCTAAGGGATTAATGAAGAAAAACAAGACTGGGACTCTGAAAGGAGGAAGATAAGCAAATAAGCCATCACTCTTTCCTGAATGTTACATAACTAAGTTGCAAAATGTCCAGGTGTAATGTTCACTGCTGTTGATTATTTTGGGATGAGTGGAGTAGCCAATGGCAGCTTGTCCCAGATAAAAAGAGGGTGGATGAGTGGATGGTGGGAGGGAGAATCTTAGTATCCTGCTTCTCCTTTGCTGCAGTCAGATGGAACAGTAGGGAAATAAGTGGCTTAATACTATTGGGCAGAGTTATAACTTTCATCACCTTTGCATATTGAACCAGCCAATGAACAGGGTGATTAAATATACCATCCTGTGTATATTAACTCCAAAGTTCACAGTGACTAACACAAAGCATTGTGAGAGTTACACTGAGCCTTGTGCAAACCACCCCTGGATACTGCATTTCCCAGGTGACAAATGTAAGATCATTTTTTCATATTTGCATTTTATGTAACTGCATCTTGGCTGAGACTGAATTTGGGGTGGGAGGAAGAGAATTCTAGCATTACTGTATTTAAAGGTTAAGAGTTACCTGAAATTCTTGGTGACTACCTGAGTGCACCTCTATAGTTTTCTTGTATGGAAATAGTTTGCCATTGCTGTTTTCCTAGATGTTTTTTCAACTTGTTGAGATTCTGTTTTTTTATGGTTATCTCTATTTTTACTTCTGGGCAATATGAAAATATGAGCGGCCCCAGAAAAACAATCTCGGATTTTGCAGCAGTTATGACTGTCTTTATTTCATCATTCCCTCTCAATATACTTGTTTGTTCTGGGGTATTGATCTGATTCTTATGTTGTATATTCACTACTTACAATGCACAGTAAGTACTTTTTGGAAACCAAAATGTATTATTTATAGAAAGCATAATTTGAAGGTATCATAAAGGTGTAATATAGGAGAGAGAAGAAGTTTCCACTCCATGTGTATTCCCCATGATCTTTGATCTGGAAAATTGAGATTTCTGAAGAAATGAAACATAAATGACTAACAGGAAAAGAATATGCCTGTAATTTTCAGAGACTGCCAGGAAGATTTCCCCACCCTGTCTGTATAGAACGATAGAACGCCAGTGAGAGAGTTCATGTTTACAGTTAGCCTTGTTCTTCTCAACCATGCTGTGTGTTCTAAGCCTAGAATTTGCAGCAGCCAAGTTCGACACAGAGTACAAACTTAGCCAATCCTCTATTGCCAAAATGCACTTTCCTTCTTTTCCTGTTGAGAAGCTAACAGGATAACAGGATCTGTTTATGAGGAAAGCTTTCAATTAATTATCCCAGTTGTACAAGAGACTTAGCTGGTACTCTGTTCAGATTTTAACAATTCCTTTCAATCAAGTGATTTGTCCTAAATCCTGACCATGTGATATACTCAGAATATGATGGAAGGCCTATCTTAACCAGTCTTAACTAAATGATAAGCCTTTAGGAAAACTGAAATACAAGTAATACAAGTTTCCTAAGATTGATCTCAGTAATTTCAGTAGACCACTGAGGAACCTGTGTCTCAACTATAATTCTCACTTTCCCTACTGAAATTAGGACAAGTTGGAACTATGGTTAAGCAATAGCACAAGAGCCATATGTTTCTCTAGCATGATGGATGGATAATCCACATGATTGGGTTTCCTGAAGTCCCTTCTAATCAATAAGACTAAGTCTGAGAGATAGCCACGCCTCCTGCTTGGTCGCACATGCCCAGTTCCGACTTAGTCTTTCACCCAGACAAGATGCGTTGGTTCTTCTCTCCAGACTCAGGTTCTTTAAAAAAAGTTAATTTCCCTATCAGTGGATTATCCTTCTATTCCCCTTTAATTTAAACACTGTACCTTACTCCCTCGGTTCCTCCCCGTCATCCCTCCGGTTCCCTTACTCTTCCTTACCTCTTTTTGAGGCTTTGTGTGTTGGTCTTTTCTTCCTTTGGGAGTTGTTAAAGGCTTCGAGGGACTTGCTCTCAGCCAGAGGCTTTTCCTTCTCTCTTGCATTCTGTTGCAGCCTCCAGAGCTTTTGGGGAGTTGCGGAGCCTTCCGTTCGATCCAGCTGATCGGTGGATCTCCGCGGAGGCCCGGGGCGACTGCAAAGCCTTCCCGAGCTGGGGCCTTGCTGGGGAAGCTCTTCGTTTCCTCTCTTAGAGTTTTTGAGAGCTGCGGAGTTTTCTGAAGCGTCGGGTGGAGCGCGAGGCTCCTGCAAAAGCCCCGAACAGCAGCTGATTGTCCTGAGCTCCTCCGGACGATTGGGCCTACTGTGAGTTGCCTCGTGGCTGACGGGCACCATTTTGGGTTCTCTTTTGCCTTGGGCCGATCCCTGGCATTACAGAGAGCCATGTGGCAGGAGTCCGCCATTTTGTTCTCTGGCCTGCATTGCAGGGCCGGCGTAGGACAGCAGCTCGATTGCCACGTGCCTGGCGGCCGCCATTTTACACCGATTCCTTGCATTGCAGAGAGCCACGTGGCTGGTGTCCGCCATTTTGTCTTGTGGCCTGCATTGCAGGGCCGGCATGGGCGATTTTTTTTTCATACATCATAGTGAGTTTCAATTCAAAATTAAAGCAGCCTGGTACTATTAGTGGCTGGTTCAGTCCCCCCCCCTTGTTTCTGGGGAGGGCAGAACCAGGAGAGTCAATCTCCACTTTGGTTCCCAGTCACATCTACTTGACATTGCCTCTGGCAATTTATATATATTCCTTTAATAGCGTGCTCACTTGCCTTTCATTGGGAGCTGGTCCTAATTATAACATACTGTGTCACACAGTCCCTTTTCCAGGGAGATATATACTGGTCTTACCAGTCCTACATTTCCTTACTGGGCCCTCAGCTCCTCGCCTGTTTCTGACCCACCCTCAGACTTGTTCTGAAGGGTCTTAGGCCTAACCTATTCAATAGGTCACCAGGTTAATCTTCCAGTCTTCATCAGCCTGATACATCCCACCCTCAGTCTTGTGCTGAAGGGATAGAGGCTGACACTCCTTGGCAGGGGGGCCGCTTTGGTTCTGTCCAGCCTTTGCTACCTGGTTATCCCACCCTCAGACTTGCGCTGAAGGGATTCAGGTTTCTTGCAAGGAGTCCATACTGGTTTTCCAGTCCTTTGGTTCTCATTACCTGCTACAACCCATCTTCAGACTGGTGCTGAGGGATTTTCAGGCCACAATATCCCTGACAAAGTAAAAGGGGTGTTTCACAGGTTTTTCTTCCTGTCCATTCAAGACTTTTTTTTTTGCTACCCCTTTTCAGTCTTTAACTATAGGATACACAAACAATGGCGGAAGATACACAGCCTGATCTGGTTCTGGCGCCAACCAGTCCTCCTGCTAAACGGAGGCGCAAATCGCCAAAGGCTGAGGTAGCTGGCAAGCTCAAGGCCAGAGCAAAAGCTTTATCCAGTAAAGCTCCATCCAAAAGGGCTAAAAAGGAGGCTGCCAGGAAACATCAGGCCCTAGAGAGACAGATATCCAGGGCTCAAAAGGCTGCTTTACCACAACAGGTACCGGTTGTTCCTGAACCTCCTGGGACTTCTCCTTTCAGCCCCCAGGTAACCACAATTGCACAGGTACACAGGCCTTTGTCTCCGAAGGGTGGTTCTCAATCTCCAACGGTTAGTCCCATGACGTCCAATCCAAATCCAACATGGGGGGCTTCTCAGCTTACCCCTCACCCTGCTCCATCGGCCACGTTCACGCCCACGGCCGCCGGTCTCCGTACCGAGCAGTCACAGACGCTTGCTCCGGAACAATTGCAATCTATGCTCACGCAGGTTTTAGGCTGTCTTTCATCTCTACAGAAATCTCAACACTCTACACCTTCCCAACGTAAATCCACCACTCTGGATTACGTTTGTTCCATACCTTCTGACCATTCCTCACAGAGCGGAGATTCTTATTCTGATATTGAGGAATCACGGGGAGCAGCCTTATCAGAGGATGAAGATGATCCTCAGGAGTCAGCTCCTTTTGTAGGGCTCTTTGATCCCGCCCTGTTCAAAACTATTCTTACCAAGGCCACGGCTACATCCCAGATAGCGCCAGAGCCTGACCCAGAACCTACCCCCTCCACCAGTCAAACTGCAAATCCTTTGTTTGCTGAGCGCACGATAACTCAAAAGCACATTCCCTGTCCACCCATTTTTACCAATACGGTAAAAAAGCAGTGGACTAACCTGGGTCTCTCTCCGGCACCTGGTTCCTCTGACAAGAAGCTGTTTAACGTGGCACCATCCCTGACCAACCTCTTGGAGGTTCCCTCTGTTGACACTTCCCTCACTCCTATCTTGTCCAACACCACTATAGCTGGGGATATGGCGGAGGCACTAAAACCAGAGGACAGAAAATCGGAGTACTCCCTAAGGAGAGCACATCAGGCGTCAGGGTGGACGGTAAAGGCTTCCACGTCAGCCTCTTTCTTCTCTTGTTCCTCTATCACTTGGCTCCAGGAGCTTCAGGATTTGATCCCACAGGATCAAGTTTGCGCCCATCAAACATTGGGGAAATTGTTAGCGGCTGTTGAGTACACAGCAGATGCTACGCTACATGCCCGTTTTTCACCCAGAGCAATAGCAGCTAATATTTCTGCCAGGCGCTTACTTTGGCTAAAACAATGGAAGGCGGATTTGAAATCTAAGGGTCGTTTGTCCACCGCTCCTTACTCTGGTGGAAAATTGTTTGGAGAAGCCCTGGAGCCATACTTGATAGAGAATAAGGACAAGAAAAAGGTACTGGCTCACCAAGGCAGGCGAGCAGATAGAAAGCCTACCCCTTTTTATCGCCGTCAGGGATTCAGGGGCAATACCCAGGGTTCCACCTGGTCACAACCAGCACGTTCCTTTACCCCAAAATCGGACCGCCAGGCGGAACATTTTGGAACCAAGCCCAGGCAACAATAGTCTAAGCGGCCCTTTCGAGGTACGGGGGGCCGTCCCTATCGGAGAAATAAGTGACTCCGGGGAGAGACCCCCCATAGGAGGTCGCCTCTCCCTGTTCTCTCAGAACTGGGAGGACACTACTACAGACGCCTGGGTTTTGTCCACCGTTACCCATGGACTGACCTTAGAGTTTTTCGCAAATCCGGCACCCCGCTTCATCTCTTGCCCAACACCTTCAAACCCATCAAAACGGGCTCTCATGAAGGAGGCCATTACCCACCTTCTCACAATAAAAGTAATAGAACCGGTTCCTCCCGATCAATGGGGAAGAGGGTTTTATTCAATCCTCTTCATAGTTTCAAAGGCCTCGGGAGGATGGAGGGCCATTCTGGACCTAAAACGCTTAAACTCTTATCTAATATACAAAAAATTCAAGATGCAAACACTGCAATCCATTCTGGCCAGCATAAGGAAGAACGACCTCCTCACGTCCATTGACCTCAAGGAGGCGTATCTTCACATTCCAATTTTTCAACCACATCGCAGATTTCTCAGATTCTGTTAC